AAATCCAAGGTAGGTCATTATAAATCCTAAATAAGCAAATATAAGCCTAAATTCGACTAATAGAAATCCTAAATACCCCAATATAACCGCAAAATTCACTCAAGATCGCCCAACCACATATCCCCAAGATAGAATCGACCTTATCCCAAGATAACGGTCACAACCAAAACCACCACAACAACAAAAACCACAACAATAATCCACAATACACATATATATCTATATTAATATACTATACATATCTAAGGTCCGTCCCCCTATTCCCCCCACGTCTTTCCTCCTTCTTCCCAATTATCAAATATACATTTCTTAATAGATTAAGAATCACATATAATAAAATAGATTTTTGGTCATCCTTAAAATAAAAGCTCATAATATATATATATATATTATTTTTATAATAAAACCATTGACCCAAAAGGAAAAATGTTATTCTATTAATAACAATATCTTTATTCAAAATAGCATATATTTTTGCGAATTCGAATCTCATAAGCGCCATCTTAGCCTCAAAGCACGGCAGCCATTTTCCCTTGCTCTCTGCCATTTCCCTGCGCTGATTTACAATTCCACAGAGAATTTTTGATCGAATGTATATTTTGTGGCTGCTCCCACTTTTACTTCATCGATTTGAGCTGAGACACCTAGTCCCAAATCTAGGGGACATGATACTTTCCACACCTCCCAGAAGACGATCCATGTCTGGCGCGAGGGTTGCCACTGGGTCCTCGACCAGTGGCAGGAGTGCCAATGCCACACAGCCTCTTAGTAGGCCCGGCACGAAAATTAACAAGGTTTGGGCGACAGCTGGCTACGGCCAAATTGTGGCTCCATCCAGATGTAAACGCATAAAGCGTAGCTTCAAAAGAGCTTGCCGGCGGGCATATTTCTTAGGATACATAAGATATAGAGGTCGTGACTTCTGATATTCAGACATCCCATTTCGAATGCGCCAACAGCTGACCCAGGATCTCAAAGCACCTTCATCGAAAATCACACTTGATCATCAATTGGCTTCGTTCTCTGACGCCTCGAATGGCTTACAATACGATGAGTGGTTGGAATGGAGCCACATGAGCCCCTATGGTATGATATTGCTGCAAGAGATTGGCTGGCGGTCAGCAATCAATAGGAGGCTGGAGACTGGTTTTTGATACACTCCTCAAGACACAGGGCGTCAATCCTTTGCATGATCCGCCGACGCCTTCTCCGCCCAGATCGACTCGCATGGGCTGAGCTGCATCTAGGCAGACTCATACATGTACGGTTGCATTTGACACGGATTCATGACGTATTCTGTATTTACCAACATTCGTGGAATTCTACAAGACCGTACCAAAATTTGGGCCACCCTCACGCACAGTGCACGTCATGTCCCGAAGAGCCATATGCTTCTCATTGCAGGTGATTGCAACGCACCATTGTCCGCCGACGCACCTCTAGTGAGCACTGCAGACCCTAAGTTTAGTCAGGCGGCTTAGAATGATAAATATAAATTTCAATCCATGCTTCGAGAACTAGGTTTGGTGGCCATCCACTGCAAGCATAAATGGACTCCCATTTTTGTGCATGGTGATCACTCCACCAGGCTATAGATTTCCTGTTTATACGTGATTACCAGATTCAGTGGAACAAATATGCTGCTCAGGTGTTGATTTGCTTCGAACGAACGGTTGGCTGCGCAGCTCCTTTTCACCGTCCGCTGGTGCTGTCCTTACCTAAATGGTTTGCCTCGCCCAGGGTCACCCCCTTGGTCAGTTCGATCGACAGATACCGCCTGAGGCAGGATTTTGGCATCAGACTGAGAACTAGTACAGCTTCGAAACACCGGTCATGGCTAGAGTGGAACACTTGACCACCTCATCCCGAAGCTCCAAAATAAGTGATCCCATTTCCACATGTCTCATGGTTGAACAGACGATTCGAGCCTTGTGCCAGCAACATTTTCCCAAAATACGTGTTTCTCGAACACCGTGCCCACAGGTCAAATCCATGGCAACACAGATGTCGTTTGCCCGCAGGCAATTGCTGCGCCTGCGAACATTGTCCCTTCAGGCTGTACTCATGGGGTAGAAACACGTCATTATTTTTGAAAAGATTCATAAGGCAATTCGTAAGCAGAGCAGACAGAATCGCAAAGATCGATTGAATATCTTCCTTGCAGAAAGTGTCCCGCCTGTCTTCCAACATAGACTGCATGCCTGGTACAAGCGCATTCGTACCTTGTGCCCCAAGTAGGTATTTAGGAAGATACAGATGTTCGACATGCATGGAGCCCCATTGTCTAACAATACTTTCAGATATTGTTTATTGATGCGCACCTGCCAATTCAACCACCGCCTGCCCTGCATCAACTCCCGTTCACTGAGGCAGATATTCTCCAGGAACTCCAATACCTTCCTGTGACTAAAGCTTTGGCACCGGACGGATTCCCAGCCTTGATTTGGAGACGCTTTGCACCTGTCTTGACACCGATTGTTTTTTTCCATGCGTTCAGCAAGCCTGGTGTGAAAATATCAGTGCTCCACCACCACATTGGTCAACAGGGTGGATTCACCTTTTTTTGCCAAGCCAAATAAGGCCCCAAACAAGCCGGAAGCTCTTCGACCAATATGTCTTCAATACCCCATGAACAAGGTCCTGTTAGGCATCCATTATCGACTGGATCTCCAGACAATTTTTCCATTCCTTCGTCAATTGCCTTTGCTTGCATATATGCCTCATCGCGTTACTGAGGATTGCCTTCTGATAATCTCTTCTCATTGCCGTCAGGTGAGAGAGTTGTGCACAGAGCATCTTCGGGATGACACAAAAAAAGGGCTATGGGGTGGCATCCAGATTTCATTGGACATGCAAAAAGCTTTTAACACTGTCAATCGTACTTTTGTTTCCAGAGCTCTCCGAATTTTTGATTTATCAATTGATATTCAATCCTCAGTGCACTCCTGGCTTGCCCCCCATGCCTATTTCATCCCCCACAAAAAGGAGGCATCAAACAAGGATCCAAACACGTCCCTCTTTTCTGGAATCTCACCATATACTTGATCCTGACACGTCATGGGTCAATACATAGGGGACGACCAATCGTTCGAGGATCTCTTGAATACTTACTCGGATGGATTCCTCAAATGCACTCGCACCGAAACCTTATCCAATGGTCAGAAAAGACCTGGCCGGGAGCAGCGCAAAAAGAACTCGAGCTCCTCAGCAAGCACCTCCGATGGCAAAGATCACGACCCGATCCAGATGGTTGCTCGAATGGCGTTACACCAAGAATCAGATGGGAGTAGATTGCACTCTAATAATCTTTCTTCAATGTGGCCGCGGGTCATTGATGCCTATGCTCCTCGAGCCCGGCCGCCAATGGAATGCACAAAGGCAAAGTGGCGACGCCTCACCCTCGCTACGCCAGACCATGTTCTAGGCGGTCTTCCAGGAGCTAATCAATCGAGCCAGCAATCTTCAATTGAATCAGAAGGAAGATGCACTCATATAGGGCTTGAAGGCCAAAGGCATCCTCACCGAGGACAATAAATGGCAATACCTCCCATGGAATTCAGAAGCCAAAGCCCTTCAGCCGAATCAGAAGACTCCGTTTACGTCGGAAAAGATGTGCGCAAAGGATTCATTATTTGGGACAGAAGCCGAAGCTAGGGTTAAAATTTGCGGCTCTTCGTTCCTTAATTCAAAAGAATTTTCCTCAGGACACGGCCGTAGCCATACTATAGAGGCTAAATATCAATTTACGTGGCCCGGAGGTCTTAGAATTACATTCCCTATTATTAAAGATAACCGGAAATGGCATTATTCAATTTGTTCTAATAAAGATACGCCAAATCAATTTCAGAAATCACTATTAACAATTGCTATATCCAACGACTTCGTAAATAATAAGGGGAATCATAACCACAAATTTATTTAATAACGGAAATCATGACCACAAATTTATTTAATAACGGAAATACATAGATTCAACTAATTTTAAAGATATTTATCATTCATACAAAGGAAGTTATGTTTCAATACAATAATTTGTATTTAATTTATCCCCTTAGAAAATGGTTCCATACCCATTCCTCATCTATTCAATACGATCCAAATAAATTTACTATATAGCTTCGAAATTAAATATTAATATCGAATCAATAATTAAAAATAAACAACAATAAGAATAATAATAATAATAAATAATAATAATAAAAATAATCAATAATAATAATTCTTTTAACTAAAATACGAATATCGTTCAAAAATCGTTTTTTTCGCCGAAAAATCTAATTAAATATTATCCATCGAAAATAAACAACATCAACAATAACAACAAAAACAACAAAGGCGACACCACCAACAACAACAAAAAGAAAATAATAATAACAGAAAAATCAAACCCGAAAAAAACCAAAACAACAAAAACAAAACCACAAAAATAACAACACTAAATACAAAATATATGTAATTAAAACATTCATTCCAATATCATTTTAAATATCGTCCGGAAGATCGTTCCCTAATTAAATAATCCATTCGACAAAGATTAAAAAATATCAACAATAATTACGATAATACGCAACATTCTAAACGAAAAATCCCATAATATTTTTTTACATCAATCCACCTTTTCTTTCTAATTCAATCGACCATCTAATCGTCTTCTACGAAATTAAATCTTCTATAAAAAATCTATACCATTACCCAAATAAATTTTCGTCGACCCTTACCTTTAATCTCCACTCCACTATACGTCGGAATACCGCATTTATTACGCTCATTTCGACATATTTTAGAGAAAATTTCGATAATAAAAAACGCTCCTAAAATATTATATTCGTAAACAATCCAATACGAACGAAATAAACCACTCGCCGACAATTAAAAACATCAATAAATTCGATCCTCGTAAAATAGATTTTTAATAGATTCAAAACATATCATAATTAATACTATTCAAATATTGAATAGTACAATTGTTATTATTATAGTAATTTAATTATTGTTTATTATTTTCAATAACTATATATTTAGTTGTTTTTGTTGTATATATTTAATTGATTGAAATTCAATAGATACCAATTACCTGCGATAATTCTATAGCTTCAAGTTGCAGGTCTCCATACCCTTGTACCCGATCATATGGATAATCAAATCTCTTTTGGAATTGCATACAAAATTCATCTGTCCGCATGCTCGTGCCTTCCACCAAAGAGATCCGACTCCAACCTCAAATGTGCTAAAGAGCATGGTCAATGCAACATTTTTATACAGTTCATCCCAATACAATGTTGTACATCTTTTGGATGGAACCCCTGTCCTGTCCATTTAGAACGATGAGAAAACAATAGACTAATAGAAGACCCATCACACTGGCTCAAAGGTGGACACTTTCATGTCTAGCGTCCCGCAACAAACTCCAACTCCTTCCATCTGGTGTGCTTTGCAACTGAATTTCTGACCCCAACCTGCTGAGGTCCGAGCCCAAATGATGATGTTGAAGATGATGAAAACAAGACCAAGCCTGGAGTCCAAAGTGGTAAATCGTCTCACCCAGTCGGGGGCGTGTGGGAAATCTGCTGATGGGAGCAAGGACGCTACTAGGGGCTCCTGGCCGTACTACTAGGAGCAAGGACGCTACTAGGGGAAATCTGCTGATGTTTCTGTGTTCGGGACCCACCGATGACATTCGAAGTGGTCGACGAGTTTCACCTCGAAGTCCTCCACCGTCTCGGTGGCCTGTACCAGTCCTTTAATGATACGTAGCCACCACCAAAGAAGACTGGCGCCTGGAGAGGGAGCACGGATGGCGACTGGGCGAAACTTTTGTGCATGGACTACAGAATGAACATTTTCATGGTGATGACATTCATCTCTTATTAGCAAAGGTTTTTCACCATCGATAAATACGAGATGAATGAAGTAGAAGAAATAGTTAAGCACAGTCCAATTTGATTCCGAGGTAATCCTTGTTTGTGATCGTATCTTGGTTGTTCATTGTGCACCCAACAAACCGAGCACAATTATAAAAGGAATTGAGTTTCGCTCTTTTTCTGCAGTTAATTCGCATAAATCAAGATAAACACATGATAACACCATATAAAACCAATAGATAGAAAAGATAGACATAGCCACTAGTCACTATTTTATTGATTGCATCCTCAAGTAATAGTAGACATAACACAAAAACACTCATATGATTTAAGGATGCTAGAGCTAGAGTTATAAAGAATAGTTCTATATTTTTAATTGCTAGTTCTCTTCGTTATCGGAGTTCTTCATGTCCGTTCTTGGCAGTGGGGCACACTATTCTAACAAGCTCAAAGACCAGCAAACCCACCAATAATAAACCTGAAGGTGTTAAGAAGTGAACCTACAGAATCCTTCAGATTCAAAACAAATCACCATTAATCACCATATTGTTTCCCTTGGCAAACATTTAATGAATGGAATGATGCACCATTGCATTTTTAACCTATATATACAATATTGGAAGATGTATCGGTAAAAAATGGATGGTCTATGATCTTCTTCTTGTTGACCTATCAATTTTATCAGGGAATAACATTCATAAGGATGATACAACTGAAAGCACATACACATATCAACACAACAATAACTTAACAATGCACACTACACAATTCATTTGGATAGATTGCAAAGAAACCAACAGATATATGTACATATATATATATATTAAAATAACTAATGTCATGCTGATGATTATTAGGACCTTAACTTTAGTTCACTCCTATAATATTATAGTCTTCCTGGACATCCCAGTACCCGAACCAACATTCTTTCATATTGGGCTCAAGGGTCTATGCAGTGTCTTCGATGGCTCATGTATACTGCTGGCCTGTGGTCGATATGGCTGTGAGTCACCACCAAACACCTCCAGGCTGAGAAAAACTTGTTGGCTTGGCTCAACGGCGAGAAATGCCAATAGCACAGGCACAGGTGGCGATTTTCAGTGCCACTCCTTTGGTGTTCATGTTTTGAGGTATACTGTTTGGAGGTCTTTTGCAAATGCAGAATTATCATATACAGTATTAGCATGTCTGGTGAGTTTATGAAACGCTCCCGCTCCCCATCAAAATCCGCCGCACCGGTCAAACATTCCGGAACCGCCTGGGCTGAAGAGTAGGGTGTGATGGAGCCGAATAAGTTGGATGCAAAGGCCAACCTGAGTGGTGAACTAAGTGGCAAGTTGAGGCGGGTGATTGATTTGGCCAGTTGGGGCTGGAAATCTTTCCTTCGCAAGTTGTTTGGCTTGTGCAGGACTTGATAATATCAGTCCCGAGGGTGGACAGGCTGAGTATATACTTCAGGCGGACGAAACATGTTCTTCTTACCTGGCCTGCTCTTATAACATCTGAGGATCAACCTCGGTCGATTTAAGAAGGTGTGGACAGTGTGGGACGGTAAGATATCACCCCATCTTTAATTTAAAGAGGACGAATTATATAAACCGCTTTGGAGGGAGGAAATTCGACCGTGTGCGGTGACATAAGTGTCTTGCAGGATTCTAAGGGAAAAGAGTTTTCACTTTGAAACTTTACTTTTGCTCTAGTGGTGTATGGTCCTGGTGGATTTTCCACTCACAGTTGAGGATGCTTTGCGCCCAAAGATCCATTGAACATCATTGAAAGTCCTACCCAAGCAACCCAAACAAACTGTTCCACCCACAAACTGTTCCAAGAAATACCCACAAAGTGCACCTCGCGGTATATACGAGTAACATATGAGTCACTGATCCGAAGTCTAACCACATTCGGCTCAATCTCCGAGCTTGCAGCGGGACTTTGGCCCGCTGTCCGCGGCTGTGAGACAAAAGCATATGAGCGACTGAGAATCTTTGTGCTAGAAGAATAAGTGGTTTTCATGCCCTCCAAATCCTAGACTTGCACAATTCGCAGTGCTCAAATTCAGATCTGGCCGGATCTTCGTTTTCGCCCGCCAGTCTGGGGAAGGTCTCCCCAGCCCTTCTTCCCAGGGTGTGTCGTTCGGAAGAAACACTTCGAAACTCGCTCCGCAGTTTTGTTGGCCAACCCAAAGAACTGGGAGACGACCGAAAACACCATCTTGCAGTTTCGGCGGCTAAACATGATCGTGTTTTCGTAAGCAACTTGGAAGTACCTTTCCGGATCCTTCCAAACCTTCCAATACTCCAATTAGAAGTGGTGGCCACTGGCAACCGTTTCACTGCAGCCCAGCCACGAAAAAACAGCTGCCATCGGCGGCGTGCCGGTATCCACCTGGGACCAAATGGATGGCTGGCAGGAGGTAAGGGGTGAATCATGCAAGACTGCGCTTCTGAACATGATTCTGCAGCATTCTGCACCAGTGTTTGTAGAGGTTCAGTGATGGTTTCAACCTTCATTTACAGCAAACTTAGCTGCAATTCAGGCAAAACACTTGAAGGATTTAAAGCAGGATCTAGGTGGTCCATCCTGGCATCAGTAGACCGGCTTGTTGATATGATAACAAGTTGTAAACCCCAGGGCGCATGGAAATACTTACGGCCCATTACAGACCTTTTGAGAAACCTTCGATCTGATTTTCAGGGTTCAAATTCAATTCGCGTGATCGATCAACCAGTGGACCAGGTCAAAAACATTCGAAAACATGCTGTCACTTAGAGGACCATCTTATCCATGAGTGGCTTGGAGGACACAAGACCCTCCTACAGGAATTCACCCTGAGTGGCCATCTTCCCGGAGTCATGACCCATGACACCTCTTTTCGTTGGAACTAAAAGCGCCATCCCTCCAGAGAGGTTGGGTGCTTAGGTGCTAAGTTGTTGGTCTGCCATTCCCAAGCCTGTGTAGAAACCATCGGAGACTCCCGTGAAACCCAGTGTATCCGGCGGGGTATTTCCATTGGTGAGTCCTTTTCGAACCGTGCCAATTCTACAGTACTCTTTTTCTGAAGTGTTTTTTTGTTTTCACGGGCCCCGACCATCATTGCCACAAAGGGCAAGTATAATGCACTGATGTGGGCAGCCTGAGTGAACGCAGCCCGCGTGAGGCATCGAACACATGAGACTTGTTGGAATGTCCTCGGATGAGATGGCCAAAGAACTAGAATGCCATAGATTGAAACAAAAACAACATGAACATCGGCAAACACCCTTGTGTTCAATCGATCTTCACTCATTCGTCGAATTTCAAGTGTAACTTGTTGCCAACATCCAAGAACCCCAAAGCAACACAGTTAAAGATTCGGCGGTTCTTGTTGATCTTGATGGACAACTTTGAATCAGATTCTTGTAAATTCTTGTACCAGTCGTGTGCGCACGAACAAAATCCAACACCATCTGACCATCTGAAACATAGAGAACTCATGAGTGTGCAAATCTCCCATGTATTGCAATGCGTTCGGACATTGTTTGGAGATCTTTCCTGTGTCCCATCGAGAATCAGATCGTTTGCCGGTCTGACTTCTTCAGCCGCCCCAGTGCACCCGCCAGGGAGCTCCTAAAAATCCTGGCCCAATGCATTGCACCTCCCTTTTGCCTGGGATGCAAAAATGTAGTGCAAAAGGATGTAAAGCAAGAGGAGCAGCAGAAAGGCTTCACCTCCCAGCGCCGCGGTCCGGGGCTTACCCGAATTTCAAGGCCGCACATGTCACCAGTTGTTGGACCCACACCCAAATTGAATCAAATTGAAGTCTAGATACGTCTAGGAGAAGGAAGCACAAGTTGAACACCGTTGGAGCTCTGCTAGATTTACTGATTCCGGACACAACCGACTGCGAGCAAAGAACAAAATTACACCAGCATAGACCCAGATAGCAGGCAGAATCCCACGACCTGTTGACATGCGACTGGCTGGAACACGAATGTACGCAGCCTGCACAGCCAGCTTACGGCACCTCCACAGCGCGCGTGTGCTCTGCCAGCTGACAACACCGGCCGCGGCGCCTGCACCCGACCAGCGCCGCCGCCCGTCTTAAACGCGCGCTCAGCCAGCTCACAGCACCAGCACCCAGGACCACAACACCAGCACCAGCACCGACACCCTTTCGAAAGCGCGCGCAGCCAGCTCATTCTTATTTGCAGCAAGAACCCCATAGCTATCCCTAATTGGGGAATAGCAACGTATGATCTCGCGCGTATGAGTTTATGCGCGCAAAAGTATGCGCGCAAACAGCAAAGCCCGTAAGTGTCATTGGCCCAAGGCCAAGCAGTATCCAGCGCCACTATTGACTTTGTAGCACGCTTGAAGCCGTATGATCTTGCTCGTATTAGTCCATGCGCACAAAAGTATGCGCGCAAACGGCAAAGCCCGTAGGCTTCACTCGCCCAAGGCCAAGCAGTATCCAGCGTGTGTGTAGCATGCTGAAACATGCTGAAGCAATGGTCGGTTGAGAGCCTGACGTTGCGCATAGAATATTATATGTGCAAAAGTATGCGCGCAAACAGTACAGCCCTTGACACAGCTGTCGGCCAAAACAGAACCTGAAGAGTGTAAATACCCCACAGCGCTAATAGACAAAGAACGCTCAAGCGACAACATCGTATGATGTTGCGTGCAAAAGCTCATGCGGCCCATGACTGCTGGCACTTCATTGTCAGAAGCAGCGCTTGGTCGCCCTTCACTGCTGCAAGCGGCGGTTTGTTAACCGGCGCCGGCACCCGGCACCAGCACCAGCACCAGCAACCTGTCTCCACCACGTGCACAGCCAGCTCACAACACCACCAGCACCGGCACCTGGCACCCAGCACCAACACCGGCACCAGCAACCTGTCTCCACCACGTGCACAGCCAGCTCACAACACCAGCACCGGCACCCGGCACCCAGCACCAACACCCGGCACCAGCACCGGCAACCTGTCTCCACCATGTGCACAGCCAGCTCACAGCACCAGCACCAGCACCCGCACCCAGCACCAGCAACCT